CACTCTGTCTTTTTGTGGGTTCTGCTGCTTCAGAATTTGTTTAGAGCCATTTTTTATGAGTATTTGGAGGGGTTTGGGGGAGAGCTCATGCAAGTCACTGCTTTCACTCCTTCATCTTGGTTCTGCCCCTCAGTTCATTTCTTCACTTAAACAGTTATTAAGCACCAGCCATGTGCCAGGCACTGTGCTAAACCCTGGGAATACATATAAGAAACAGAAAGAAGCCCCTGCCCTCAAGGAGCTTACCATTTAATGGGAGAAGATAGCACACCAAAGGAAACTAGAAAGGGGTGGAGACCCCAGGGGTACTTGGCCTGGGGACATCTTGTTCTGAGGAGTTGAAGCCAAGCAAGCTTCAGATGGAGAGTGGATCTCCTGTGATCTCCTCCTCTACTCCATGCCCTGACAAAGAGGTGTTTCTTGCTGAGGTCAGCTGCTTGGGTCAAGGATCCCTCGGTTTCTGTCCGCTTTCTCCAGCAGACAGTCCCCTCTCTAATCCCAACTTCCTCCCCAGTCCACCGCGTCTTTTCTTGCTGCCTGCAAATGTACCCAAAATTGTTTTCACCAGACTCCACAAGCCTGGCAAGCCCTTGTACCATATCTTTCTTCCCTTTCTCTAAAAGCCAGTTTTAGAGTCTTCACTTCTCCCTTCACTCTCTTCTAAACTGTTTGCAGCCAGTCTCATCACTCAACAGAAACCGCTTTCTCCAAAGTTGTAAATGATCTCTCAATCACCAGATTGGATGGCTTTTTCTCATATCTCCTCCTTCTTGAACCATCTGCAGCATTAGATAGCATTGACTGTCATCTCTCCCTACGTACTGCCTCCTCTGGAAAGTCAGGACTCTGCTTTCTTTTGATGTCCTTCCTATCTGTCTGACCACTCCCCATGTCCTTTGTTGGATCATCATTTCTGTGTCTTATCTCCTACCTCTGGGGTAGAACCCCAAGGTTCTGTCCTGGCTCTCCTGGTCTTCTCCCTATATGCTTTCTCAGTGATTTCATCAGTTTCCATGGGTCCAGTTGCCATGATTATATGAATGACTTGGAGATCAGTAGGTCTAGCCTTAACCTCACTCCTAAACTCCAGTCCCTCATCACCAGCTGTTAATTGGACATTTCCAATTGTATATCTGTGAGTATCCCAAACTTTCTGTGTCTAAACCATAACCATTTTTTTCCTCCAAACTCATCCTTTTCCAAACATCCCTGTTACTTTTGATGGCATCCATCCCTCAGGTTTATAACCTTAATTGTTGTCCTTGACTCCTAACTCTCACTTTCTCCTATAAGCATTCAATGGTCATATTCTGTTTCTGCCTCTGCCTCATCTCTCCTGTATGTCCTTTTCTTTCTCTTTGGCTCCCAGGGCTCTGTTGTAGCTTTATAAATTCTCAGGTCTTACTGGCCTTGACTAGATAACTGGAGGCCTTACTCAGCTTTATCCTTCACAACATATTTGTCAAACACATCAGTTACTTAGGGGGAATCATAAACAAAATTTGTATGCTGATCTACCAGGAAATCTTTTTGGGGGAATCTGGGTGTCATCTGAATAGAAGAGATGGCCCAAGTCCTGTGATTGCCATAGGAAAGAATACACACACACACACACATATACATACATACACACATATATACATACACACACATATATATGCACCTACATATATATTTATATATAGATACACATATATACATATATGTATATGTATATATGTATTATATGTGTGTGTGTGTGTGTATATATATATATAGATATAGATATAGATATAGATATAGATATAGATATAGATATAGATATGAAAGAATAAAGAGAGCTTTAGGGAAGCAATTACCTGTATATAGGAGTTGGAAGAGCCTGGAGCAGTCAAGCGGTCAAAGAGAACCAGGGAAGTCCAACACCGTGGAAGCCAACAGGTGGGAGCAGCGTTGTTAGCTGCTCTGTGTTGACAGGTTGACTCCCAATGGGTATAATGCCCACCAACACATGTTTTGCTGAGCCTTGTGCAAGGGTTGACCAATTCTAACTGGATGAGCATTCCAGAACGTGCCTCGAGCCATGGGGATGGCCGAAGTATAGAAATGACTGAAAATATCCAAGATCTCAGAGAGTTCCCGTCATGAGTCTTTTGGAGATGTCTTAGATCCTTGCGTTGCTGAGAAGGGCTGAGTCTATCAAAGTCAGTCATCGCACAGCGTGGCTGTTACTGTGTACAGTGTTCTCGTGGTGGGAACCCTGTCTGCCGTATTCTCTTTTCTTCCAGAAATGCCCTGGAAGGGCCACAGGAACAAGCAACAGCAATAGACATGTAACACTTTGAAGGGGACAGAGCACTTTATAGACACCGCCTCATTTAATCTCAGAACAACCCCATGAAGTAGGGATTATTATTTCCATTTTAGAGATGAAGAAACTAAGGCAAATGTACATTTTATAAAGAGTTCTAATACTTTGATCAAAATTCCAAATATTTCATTGTGGCTGCCATCTTCTTGTCACTTGGCTGTTTGGAGAAATTGGAAAGACTGTCAGATTATGAGTCAGAGGGCTTGGGTTAGAATCCCGTTTCTCCTTGTTATTATTCCTCATGACGTTGGGCACCGCTCTAGGCCTCCCCTTCCTCTTTAGTATAATGGAGGCATTGGCCTACATGGCCTTTAAGGTCACGTCTAGCTCCAAATGCTGTCTGTAATGTTGATACAGAATTGAATAGCAAGGTTGTGGCCTTTTGAGGGTCAAAAAGACTTCAAAAATCCTATGAAGAGTTATTGGGTATCTCTTTGCCCTCTCCCCTCCTGCCATGCACCCATTCTCTTGGTCAGTCAAAGAAAGCAAAAGAATATATGCATTCAAGCAGTGAATCTAAGCCAAAGATTTAGCAACATAATGGGCAAAAGTAAATGGTTTTTTGGGGGGAGGGTGTTTGATAGACCCAAACAAGCCCTTGTGTGAATACGGACCCCCGAGTGGTGCTTCTTCACCATGGAATGGCGATTTGTTTCCCAAATGTTTGCCCTGATGGTCGTCACCATTTTGTGATGACTTTCCTTTGTTTGATCACACACACCTTTGTATCATCATTTGGGTCCTGTTAGTAATCACCCTATGTACCAGAAGTATTGGATCTGAGGCTTATTCTGTTAAAGAAATAGGTGGTGCAGTGGATGGAGCACCAGCCCTGGAGTCAGGAGGACCTGAGTTCAAATGTGGCCTTGGACGCTTGATGCTTACTAGCTGTGTGACCTGGGCAAGTCACTTAATCCCATTGCCTAGCAAAAAAGACAAAAGCAAAACAAAAGAAAGAAATATCCAGCCAAATCTTGAAACAGGATGGATGGAGGATTTGATGAGAGCTGCACGTCGGTTGTAAAAAGGGGAAAGTATCCTTTGTCATAACCCAAATTATGACATACACACTTCCCTCATCTAGCTGCCAGTATTGCATAATGCAGAGATTTGGAGAATATGAACATTTACATCTCTAACATTATCTCATTGGATCCTCACAACAATTCTAGGAGGTTGGGGAAACTGAGGCAAACAGAGGGTAAGTGACTTGGCCAGGATTACACAAGTGTCTGCAGTCTGATTTGAACTCAGGCCCGTCTGACTCCAGCTCAGAAGTCTGTTTGCTGTTCCACCTGACTGTCTCTGAAGTAGAGCAAAACAAATTCTTTCTCAGAATTGGAAACTGAGAGGATGCCCATCAACTGGGGAACAGCTGAACAAGCTGTGGCGTGTGAATAGAATGGAACACTGTTGTGCTATAAGAAGTGATGAGCAGGTGGACTTCAGAAAAACCTGGAAAGCCTTGTATGGTCTGATGCTGAGTGAAGTGAGCAGAACCAAGAGGACTCTGTACACAGTAACAGCCACATTGTGCCATGACTGACTTTGATAGACTCAGCTCTTCTCAGCAGTGCAAGGATCCAAGAAATGCCATCCGCAGCCAGAGAAAGAGCTGTGGAGTCTGAATGCAGATCAGAGCACGCTGTTTGCTCTCCTTTTGCTGTTGTTTTGTTTCTTCTTTCTTGTGGTTCCTCCCATTGGTTTTAATTCTTCTTTACAAAATGACTATTGTAAAAATATGTTTAAAAAAATAGTTCTTTCTTCCTACCCCAAACTTGCTGGGTTTTGACAGTGGCTCCAAAAGCAAAATGAGAATATCTCCTCTCCACAAATATTCTGTAATCAAAATGTATTTTTTTCTTAAAAAAAAAAAGTCTTCTAAGTCTGTTTGAAATGCCGAGAGTGTCACAGGAGGCCCTCTAGAATGGTGCTGGTTGAGGTGGGTTTCCTCCAGTCAGTCATGGGCAGTGAAGTGGCACAGTGGTTAGAGCACAGGGCCTAGAGACAGGAAGACCTGAGTTCAAATCTGGCCTCAGACCCCGGGCGAGTCCCTTAGCCCTGTTTGCCTCAGTCTCCTCCTTTGTGAAATGAGCTGGAGAAGAGAATGACAAACTGCTCCATTATCTTTGTTAAGAAAACCCCAAATGGGTCGCAGAGAGTCAGACACGACTGTAACGACTGAACGCTGACAACAGTAGCAAGTGATTGACGTGACTTTGTTTTCCTGGTTTCTGATCCCCTGGGGTAGGCTCTTCAAGGATTGGGAGAGGACCAAGGCAAATACTTTTATTTACTATCCCCTTCTAGTTTGTGGTGGACCATCAGTTCTCTTGCTGCCACCAATGGTGAACGAAGGTGGTAGGAAGTTTGGCATTTTCCCTTGGGATTGGAGTTTTGCATTCTTCAGGGAATTTCCCCTGGTGGCTCTTCCTTCTGCCATGACCCATCCAGACCTTGTCATCTTCCATAATCCCTGCTCTTGCCAACCCACGCATCCCCCCCAGAGGACCTTCCTAACACACCAGGGACCTTCCTCCTGTTCTTTTTGTTGGGATTCTTGTAGAAACTCCCCCAGTTCCCACACATGAATGTGCTCCCATTGACTTCTTCCCAATGACTTCCATTGCCAACTGACTCCTCTCCTCAGGGCTGGGAGGAAACGGTGGATGCTGCAGTGGCCCACCTGTTGAAGACTTGCCTCTCCAAAAGCTCCAAGGAACAGGCCCTGAACCTCAGCAGCCAGCTCACCATCCCCAAGGACACAAGCCGTCTGAAGAAGCACATCACCCTTCTCTGTGACCGCCTCGCCAAAGGGGGCCGCCTCTGCCTGAGCACCGACGCCGCGGCTCAGCAGACCATCGTCATGCCAGGTAAGACAGACGCGACCATCCCCGGAGGAAAGGAATCTGCCCGGGGTTAGATCTGGAGCTTCGATTTCATGTGAGAGAAAGGAGAGCTGAGAAAATTGCTCCCACATTTTCCTGCAGCCATCCCAGCTTAACCACTGGGATAAATGTTCTGGGAGTATTTGCTTGCTAGACATTTTTAGAATGGTATGTCTTTTTTCCCCCTGCTTTTGAATACATGATACGTTTTGTTTTCCTTCTAACCAATAAAAAGCGGATTAGAGAATCAAACTATTTTTAAGGTAAAGTTTAACTAAATGTGATCGCAAGATACCATATTTCATGAACATAAGTAGAATAATATACCAGCTAATGGAACCCAGATGAATCTCTTCTGCAGCTCTCCTGGGTCCCAGGCATCAAAGTCAGTGAGGGCAGAGATGCTGAGCCCAGCACCGTGGGCTGAAATGCAGGCGCCGACGTCAGCACCCAGTCGGTCCCCGTGGCCCTGGGTGGCTGGGGTCCCAGCGCAGAGGGGCTCCCCCTGCCTTTAGGCTTGGCCTGGTCCTTCTTAGTACTCCCTGGCCACTTGTAGCCATAGCATTCAGAGTGAGACTGGCCACGTTTCATGGGATGAATGCAGACCCTGGTGGGGACCTTGTTCTTTCTCATGGCATTTAGAGCCCCCCCCCCATGAAGCAGGGCCCTCGTTTGGGGGCAGCATAGCCTTCCTCTTCCTCTTCCCACCCGTGCCCCTGGCTCGCACGTCCCCTGGCTCTGACGCTTACAACCTTGGACAGGTGACTTTACTTTGCTGGCCTTCCACGTCCTCAGTCGTGAAATGGGGGGGTGACTCAAGGGGTCTTAGCCTGTGAAGAATTCCTCTGCTGATTCTCTCTGTCTCCACTCTGCTTTCCCTTGGAACAAAAACGAAAATGTAAAAGAATTGAGAAATGAGTTGGACCCACTGCCTGTGAGTGTAGCTTAGACGTCGGCATCTGTCCACCCCATCCCTTTTGTTTTTAAACACATGCGTGGCAGCCCCTCAGTAGCAGGTGGCAAAAGGAACTGTTTCTGCAACATCGATGTGTGTAACTGGAAGCCCATTTTCCCCAGCAAATGTGCTCTCCTCAGGCTAGCTGCCCAGGCTAGCCCGCTCAAGCGAAATTCATTCATTCTGTTGGTTAAGTGCTCCACACTTGCAGAGAAAAAAACAGTGGACAGTAGACAACTTTGGCAGCTTTGAGGGGGGACTCAATCTATGATTTGTTTGGTACAGAGAACTCCAGATGAGGAAGCTCCTTTTACCAGTGAGGATCAGCACCTAGAGCACAGTCACTTGTCCACTGTGAGCTAAGTGACTTGTCCAGGGTCACACAGCCAGTCTGGGTCAGAGGCAGGGCCCAGCACTGGGGCTTCCCGACTCCAAGGCTGGCTTCCCCTCCACTTTGGCAATAAAATCATTAAATAACAGAAAAGCACCAACGTTGAATGAATGAGCAATTCGTTTTTGTGAATACTTGGCTGCAGAGTGACGGATGGTGGGGGGGAGGGGTGGGTTGTCAGTTCTGGTGACTTTATATACAGGACCTCCATCCTCCGAAGCTTTCTGGGATATGTAGTCCGCCGGGAAAAAGGTCCACCCCAGAGTCTTCTGATAAACACTGCTCTCTTCACTTAGGTCACCTAAAGGCACATTTCTCAGTCTGTACCGAGAGGCTTCCTAGGAAAAGAGCATCTTAAGCCATGGGGCCCATAGGGTCATGGAGGACTGGAGCCAGAGTCACCTGAAGGCCAAGCTGGTGGGCTTCAGAGCCTGGTATTTGGAAAATTGCTTAAGGGGACAGCTTTTGGGGGGTGGGGGCAGAATGAGAACAGTGGTCTTGGAACAAGGAAAGAAGGGAAGAGAGTGGGGGCAGCCTCCTCCTGGTCAGCCTGGCCAACACAGGATGTGGCCCTTCAGGAAGGTGTCTTGGTGCCTGGTTTGTGAAGTTCCTCCCCTGGAGCTCAAGCCCTGGCCTGGAAGCTGGTGAGCAGTGGTTAAGTGGAGCTCAGCGTCATTGTGGGGAGGTGGAGTCTGGCCAGAGGAGACCCTTACTGCCATCTTAGGTAGTGGTCCTTTCTTCTCATGCCTGGGTGTTCCTAGGAGGGAGAGTGCTCAAGAAGCAGAGGAGAGAATTCCTTTAGGAATGAGGAAGACAAAAGGGGCTTCTCGTAGAGCAATGGCTCCTTTTTTCATTTGGTCCGGTATTTACCTTTGATTTATCCCTTTTGTGGCTATTGATAATCATAGGAAGGCTGTCCCATTTGCTTAAACCTAAGTATGTGGCTGCATTTTTAGATTAGTTGAACACAAATTCTTTCATTGTGTCACTTCCTGTATAGTTCCCTGTGATAGGAAAAGGCAAGTGGTATATCCCTGACATCTCTATACATATACATATAAATGTATACACACACACACACACACACACACACACACACACACGTATGTATATATGTATATGTATGTGTGTATGTATATATGTATATAATGTAGATTTTACATGTGTAGTTCCTGGGGGCACTTTCCTTAGCTCAGAGGTCAAGTTCTCAAGTAACAGCTATCCTAGGTTCAGATACTCTGTCGATCCATATCTCCTAAAACCCTTGAGCCCCCACCAATGTAGTTACCTTTAATAATCAGCTAGAGGACAAAGCTCAAAGAAAAGGCATTTGATGAAATAGCATAGTAAGAAAAGGAGCAACAAAATATCTACCCATAAATCTGGGATGCCCTCTCCCACAAACACATGTAACATCCATGTGAGGAATAGATTTACGCTTAGAATATATGTGGAATGTATAGACAGGACACCTACATAGAGGGTCATACATGTAGGGATCACCAGTGCCCCAGACATGGGCATTGAGGGGCAGCTCACACTTCTCCTACGTGGCTGCTGATATCGTCTATTCATGTCATTATGCCATTCCCCACTTATCTCTGCTATATGCTATTTGGCCTGATTGTGTTGTATTGCACACTTAGTTTCTGCTAAATGCCTCCAAGCTTTGTCCTTCAGCTTCTAACTCTACTGAAACCTGTGACTTTCCATTCCTCTGAGGAGATGGGGGAGATCGGGTGCCACTGGCCTTTCCTGGTTTAAAATCTTTACGTGGGCCTTTTAGAAAAAGCAGGAAATCTTTGCCCCAAGATCCTCAAGAAACCTCCTCTGCCTTGTTCCCCCAGAGCTTGACTCCATGTTCTCCCGTCTCCTCTGCAGGACTTCTGAGCCACCCAGGTGCCAAGTGCCTTAGGAGAAAGAACAGAGTCTGCCCTTGGATTAGTCTTCCTATTCCAGGGGCTAAATCTCTCTGAGTTCTGACCCTAGCGCACACTGATCAAATTTCAGTCTTTGAGTGCTATACTACAAGTCAGGTTAATGGTTATTTGCTTAATAACTACCAAACAGCCCAGGAGTTTCAGTTTTTCCAGTTTTTGGACTGTTTCTTTTGTTCTGGAAGTACATTCATGCCCCTGTTTCACCTTCCTCTGGTTGACCAGTGTGTCCAACAATCTCCATTTTAAGGAAAGCTCCCAGACTAGCCGTGAGTGGTTTCTTTTCCTCTCTAGACTACACTTCTAACTCTGGACTTTCTCTACCCTGCCAGAGAAGCCTCCTCACTCTGCAAGTTCACTCCAGTCCTGAACTTCTCACACTTGGAAGTATACTTTACCCCCCAAGACCCCTTCCCCAATGGGCTGTTTCCTTGCAGAACCTCTGCTGCAAGGAAAATGCCCAGGCCAGCTATGGCTTCATACCTCTTCTGACTCTACTTTGAACATACTGTACCATGCCCTTAACATGGTGGTCCCTTCCTTTCCCCTCTCATCCCCGTTAGAATGTAAGCTCCATTAGGGCAAGGGCCATCTGTCTCTGCCTTTTGTTGTATTTGGCTCAGCACAATGCCTGGTACATGGTAAGCTGTAATAGATGCTCATTGGCTGTTCTCCCAGCTAGAGGCCTAGGTAAGGAAGCTTATAGAATGGGGCAAAACCGTCAGTGTAATCATGGTGTGGCTCAGCTCCCTTCCTGGCCCTTTCAGATATAGATGAGCTTAGTCAGAGTGTGAAAAGGGCTTTACTGGGCTCTCCAGAGGGACAGTTGGGGGCAAGGAGGGTTAAATGGTTTCCCAAATCCTTCCCTTGAACTTGAGGAAGTAGGACATCTGACATGTGGGCCATGGATTGCACTTCCCACTAGACTCAGTTGACCTGAGGAATACAGATCTGTGGCTCAGTGGAAAGAGCCCCGGATTTGGAGTTAGAGAACTTGACCAAGGCTGCTTAGTCCTCTGGCCTTGGCTGACCAAGGGTCTCAGTTTCCTTATGTGTGAAATGAAGGAGGTGAACTAGATGACTGAGCTCCCTTGAATTTCCAAATCTGGGATCCTTAATATATTTAGAGGCAAATTGGTTTCATGTGTAAACGATTACCATTCTTTCATTTCCAACTTATATTGGGCCAGCTGGGGGAAAAGAACAGTTTCTTGGAGTGTCCCTTCATTTTTATGGGGAAGGTCTTGACTGTAGCCGCATGAACCTGATCTGATCCTGGGGTTGTATTGGTGTTGCCTGTGATGGGCCACGGCCAGGACATCAGCTCTTCCAAATGCCATGAGTTCTTTCTCTTAGTCACCCAGGCAGTCAGTCATGTGCTGGGCCGTGTTATTTAAACATTTTACTCCTAAAACATCAAGTGAAAATGGCGTGTGAGAAAAGTTACTCTGTAACTCGTAAAATCATAGAATGTTTTCGAGTGGGGAGGGGCCACAAAGGCCATTCAGACCAGCTCATTCACTGTGCATGTGAGGAAACTGAGGCCCGAGGAGAGGAGGAGACTTTAGAGTTTGTATGGTAAGCTGTGAGAATGTCAGCAGATGCCTTCAGAGCAGAATGGCCCCAGGGCTGTCATTTCAGCCTTTGGGGTTTTTGCCCTCGGTTTTACTGTAGTGAAGATCATACTCACAGCCTCCTCTCT